TTTTTTCTACCACTTATCCACTGATTGATGATGTTGAGTCTCCTAGATCTAGCTCAATAAAGTGATTACATCTAAAGCTATACTTACATTCTCCCGAAATGGTAATGTTACCCATAGTACACGCTTTGGAATGGATGGAGTGATGGAGAAAATGCAAATATGCCCCTGAAGATTTCTCCTAAATGGCAGACTCACAGCGAGGGTTCTCAAGAGCGCCATGTCTGGAAGTTTGTTTCTTCTGCCTTGGAATCTTCATTCTTGGAGGTCTGGCGGTTACTGTTCATAAAATGGAATAGTCAGAGCCTTAGTTTTTCATTCCTAAAAAACAGTAATGCTTCCAAAACTTCTTGTGTTTATTAGTAGCATGGCGACAGTTAATTCAACTGCCAGCTGCATGCTTCAGGGGTTTAAATTGTAGGGCAAATATTCAGAGCAATATGGATGGAGATGGAAGGGATTATGCTCAATGAAATAAGCCAGAAAAAAAATTATTGGATGGTTTCACTTGTAGGAAGAATATAGGGGAACCAAATAAGGGGGGAAAATTAACAGGAAATTATGCATCAGAGACATTTTGCAGGGGAAGGAGCAGAGTCAAAACAGGGGAGGGAAGAGCACAAGGGACTGTGGTGATGGTGCACAGGTCAACTGGGGGTGGGATTTCATGGGACTACACCTGCGAGGAGAAAGCATGCCTTGTACAAAAAGGAAGAGTGATGTAAAAATATATTTAAAAAACTGTAGGGCAAATATCTTGAAATCTGTCTTTTTAAAGAATTAAAATTCTTTATAATTGTGGAGATTTCACCTCCAGAAGAGGTGAAATCTCACTCACCAGTGATTAAAACTTACAAATTCCAGAGGGAAGATGGCGCATAAGGTAGAGGGCGTGTATGGCTCTCACAGAGTGGAGCTGAATTCCAGCCCCTGGATTTGCATATCTCATTGGGAAGTACAGTGTCCTGGTGATGACAGCCCACATCAGGCCCCAGAGCAGTCAACTCTGCATGTATGTACAAGGAATGGAAACTTTTTTTTTTTTAAGCATTCTTTAACTCTAGTGGAGAACAAGTTGGCAATATCTTCCAAAATGACAAACATACGACCTTTTTGATCCAGCAATCCCACTTTCAGGAATGTATTTTATAGATTTATTTCAAGCATGTAAAAGAACATTGCTGTTTACTGCATCAAATTGAAAATAGCCAACAAAAAACGGTAGGACTGGAAGAGGGGAAGGAAGAAAAACGTCAATGTCTATCAGCAATATGTTGTGGTCAAAGAGATTATGAATTACATCCATGAAGGGAATGCTGTCTACTGTTGTTCCTAAACAAAGGTCAAGATGATTCCCCCACACATTGCCGTAGAGACAGCTCCAGGAATATTTTTAAGTGAAAAAAAAAAAAGAGCAAAGCATATGATAGTATAGAATGCATTATTAACTTTGCTCTGCAAGGAGGGAACCGTAAAAATATATTCCTGTTGGCTTTATTTTTGTAAACTCTGGGAGGCACACAAACTAATAAAAGATGGCATATAGAAGTTAGAGTGTGATCTTCCAAAGATGACTTCTTTATACTGTTTGATTTTTTTAACCATGTGAATGCTTTCTATTTAAATGGTTTTTTAAGTATGTATTTATATATATATATA